CTTTCAAATGATCTCATCATTGCAATATTTTTTTCTTTTAAAATTGACGTAGACAATCGCTCTTTGCACCATTAAGCCTTGGAATGAGCGCAGTTTTCGATCCTTCTCTTACATCCTCTGACATTATCTTATCTTCTTTTTTTTTGTTAAACAAAATGTTAATTTACTGGTAATATTACAATAGGCAACAACTCGATCGTATTGCTGTAATTCACAGGATTTAGTAATATCATACCGCTTATATCATATGTTTGACGGTCTTAATTACAGAAAACAAGCCTACTTTTACTATACTTATCCAAATGTAAATACCTCATTTTGCTCTTGATATGTCTACCTTTTAAAATATATAGCTTTGACATATGTTAGGACCTCATGACCTCTGACTCTTTAATTTGCATCTAGAAGGCACGTCTCGACAAAATAATGTTGTACGTACCGTACTATGATTTCTTTACCCATAACACTCCTGTCACTATCATCCATCGGACAAAATTGAGTACCATGGTTTAAAATACTAAACAATGTTTAATGGTACGCATAATTACCAAAAGAATAACAAAATGTTTAAATAAATTCTAAATAGGAGTAATTATAAATATATTAACTCAAACATCGTATTTTACCTTAATCAAACAGTATATCAGAGCTTCTCATTACGTTAGAAATTGATACTTTCTCGTCCTTCATGGACCTTAATGAACAGATTCAGGATTTCATGTATTATATATATCACAACGTCTTTGCAAGCACAGATGATATATAGGCTGCCTACAATAGCCGATCGACGTAGGCATCAGCGGGTCTTTAGGTGCCCGCCGTTTACTTATCTATTTGATTACTTTGAGCTCTCGTAAATAGTTGTAATTTAAATAACATCAATTCTTTTCACTATCAAAATGATCTAGGCCAGATAAGGACTCCGTGAGAAGCAAGTAATTTTTACAAGATAGATGTAGCAAGAGACGAAGTAGCAAGTTACAGCTTAGTTAAGTGCTATCACTTTCAATCGCGGCAGCAATTAACTTAAATTCGCATCAACTTTACTTTACAGTGAAAAATAATACTAATACTTAAGTTCGGTTCTATTATAATTTTAGGCACAAATTTCTGCGTGATCCTTTTCATCATATTCTCACTGCTTAGCTAATCGAGATTCCCTTCTTTTCAGACAGTTACGCGTTTAAGCGGCTTTGATTCGCTCTTTGAAATGTTTGGTACGCCATATAATATATACCGGAATCAAAATATAATTGTGCGCGATGCACTATTATGAGGAATTGATCACTAAGTGTAGGCCATGACAGAGAAGCTGATGTCGATGAATTGGATCACACCGGCTCAAATTACGCAACAAGAATTGCGTACTGATCGATGGTTTAAAGTGTCCTGTTGATGAAAATTTTGCAGTGGAGTGGCGGAAACAAGAAGTAGAGTCGATTGCCATTCGGACCCAGTTTCGTCAAATCATCTGCCATCCCGTCCATGATGTTGCCAGGCATTGTTCCCACGGTCATCTGGAATCCACCGAACTACGGCATCCACGCATCAATAGCAGTATAGTTCGATGTCCGAGGTACGTGCAGCTGATATGCATGTTGACCGACTTCAACCCGCTCTGCTACTTGCCGAGACTGCTGTGACCGTGGAATGTCGATTGTACCATCAGCTGAAATGTGTTCTCTCCGTCCAGACAGCAGCTCTCGATACTCGAAAGCCCCACCTTGCTCCAGCCGATCCATAGAATAAAAATCAAAGATGTATCTACACAGTGATTGTCCTAGCACCTGACGAACCGAAACTTCGCGCGATCAACTTGCCACTTTGTTCGAGCAGCCAAGTCTGATGCATAGACGACTTCGTTTTCTCGATACGGATTTTGGCTGTGGATGCGAAACAAAGTCGAACGATCTTGGTCTTCGAGTTGATCTCAGAGTACATAGACACCAACACAATACATGCATCGAGAGAACAACTGCTGCATGCCGACATCAGTGGAGCTTGCGGGTCTTGTAACACTAAACGAGGCACACCAAAGAAGACGACGCGATTTTTCTACAAGTTGTTGAGATTTATGTAGAAGGGAGCAGTGGAACGAGGTCTTCTTTTGTCCACAATGGCATGTAAAGTACATCTGTAGTTGGAACAAGCTTCTTGAATTCATCGATACAGTCTGTTTGTGAGCATAATCAAGTATTTTTGGATGGGAATTCAGCAATACGTGTGAGGTCCACCGAATCCACAAGAGATCACAAATCGTACGACTAGATTCGCAGATTGCCCGAATAAGACAATTGCCTACACTCTAACATCGTGAAACCATCAAAGAAGATTTCATCATTAGCAGCACTCGTTTCTTCTCCTTGATCAACTTCCACATCACATAGTAGATGAACACGAAATTTCCTATTCCAGGCGTGCCAGTGATGACTGCATACTTGTGGCAACTTGGCTACACTTCCAACAAAACTTTTTCCGCGGTGACTTTGTACGATGTACGGATCTAGAGATCATGTCGTTCAGTCAGCGGTACCAACGACGGAAATTTGAGCGAGCTCTTGACTTCATCCACCATGGGATTTTTGAGAAGAACTAATCACTACAGTGACCGAAACGCCATCTTGCGATACAACTTAAGTCGGAAACCACCACCAATACATGAACAAGGTCATTATCTGCTGCTTTATTCTCTTCATCCACTCCATCATAATCCAACGCGGTAAAGTTTTGCTCGCGCAGCACTCAAATGCTTCTGGCCGTTAGTGTCACTAGCACCTCCCTTCACCTCGTTTTCGGTCAACCACGCGTCGCCCTTCTTGGCGAGGTAAAACTCAAGCTTGCTCCATGCAAAGTTACATTTCTGCATATCTATAATCGCATCCTTTAAGTCACCAACAGCCTCGCTCGCATCGATTGCTTAACCATGTTTTTTTCTTGCTGAAACTTTCCTTCCGCATTTCAGCTAATCAGTACACTGCACTGAGTTTGATAATGCTAACAAGAAAAACGAACTTGTTTAAGGGAGAACTATCACCTTTTACCAGTCATAAAGGCCATTTAAATTATTCGTGAATGCGAACAATTATACGAGTCGACAAAACGCAATAAAAAAGCAGCTAATTGTCTTAGCATAAATATTCCACATGTATGTCCACATAGTTTGTTTAAATGGAAGTACCCCGTCTGTGCATACATTTTGATTCTCCACCTTTTGTCTTGCCGATTAGGGACTCCCTCTTTGCATGCTTTAGGAAATGAAATACAAAGTGTTGACGTGAAATATTGTTCGTCAAACAGAAAGACTAGTTCGATCGAATCAGAAATCATAATATACGATCGTTGCATTTCGTATGTGCCGGGTATGTTACACAGCTATAAACGTAGATGTGAATCGGTTGAAATTTGAAATAGGTAGATATGCAGCGAGTTCTGTACGATAGATGCCCACCCTCTGTATCAGACTGTCACCCTGGGCAAACAGTGCACCATCATTTTCTTCGTCGTACAAAATTTGCCGTATGCCAAGTGCAGACCCTCTGTTCTCATATCCATGTCTTGTAAAATGTAAAAGCTGTCGAGATCTTGGACTCGCAGATAGTCAACTAAAGCAGAGACATGGCATGGCGTACGGGAGAAATGCTACAGTTTTGAACTTGCTACATATTTGCTACTAATAGACTTTATATACTTCCAATTGAAAAATTAGACACTGTCTTCACATTCTACATTCCGCACGGTCCGCGCAAAATAATAAAATTCTCTTGACGCTTTGGTGCAGTCTGCTGACATACGTGGTGGCCTTTTCCGATGCAAAGTGGCGCAGGAACCTACAAAGCAAGCTGGACCGAAGAGTCTGGCATCTGAGTCCGTAATTGGTGCATGGAAGAACAATTCGATCTTTTGTCAACAACTATTACTAAAATTAGTTGCGACAAACAACCGATAAAAGTCGCGAGCTCATCGATGAGAGTAGCTCCAGCAAGGTCAATTTAAGACTGCGTCTTTTGGCACGTCTATGGTGCAAATCGGCAATTATCACGAGAAGTATGGTCAGTGAAAAGAAAACAGGTCTGAAATTTATGTGTCGGCTACTGAACTTGAAATTCACAAGGAGGAGGAACAGCGTGAGTTGCCAACTGAGGTGAGCTCGGATAATAGCGAGGATAAGAAGCTTGCTCAAATGGAAGTCCAATAAAAGATGATGATTGGCGTGAAATCACTGGAATTCTTCAGCTCCTGTCGCAGCGCCTAGCTCGAAGCCATGTAGCATCAACGTCTATGTCGGTTACCCAGTAACTAGTACGTGAGGGACAATGGCAACTATGACAAAAAAACGACTTCAAGTCAACGCGGGATATATTCGCTGGAGAGAAGCGTCTAGCGCTGGAGCGGGCGAAAGCTAATGAAAATGCATCCACTAGCTCGCACTAACTGTATATCGGACCGGGTAACAAAATTGCTGGAGCAGTTATTCCAAAATCAACCCCTGGTCCTGTTCCCACGTCCATGCTGAAAAGATGCCAGCAAGTTCGTGTCGTCAATGGAGCTGCAAAACTCGTTGTCTTGAAGGCCGACAATAACGCCTCATTTTGGAAGTGGTCAGCTGACGGTGGGTCTGTATTTACAAATGCGTCGAATGGTTCCTCAAATGCACTTCGTAATTATCGGAATGAATGAGACGGGCTTTGAATTGATTGATAGCAACGCTGATGGGACATTGCTAGAATATCTGGCCTTAGTTGAGGACCCGAGGAGATTCGTGAATACCATTGCGGTCGAGTGTCAGCTTTGGCCACCGAGTTCATTTAGCGCAAGAAAACGTAAAGCGACGGAAAAAAGTCTCAAGGTGAGCAGAGCGTCGGGCTCGTCAAATAAACGCCGTCTTAAGAGCCATAAAATTGATCCATACTTGCTCAACTATTCGGTGGGGAGCAGAGTATTGTTATTCGCGTGGTAAAAAGGGCTGGCTAGGTTCGGTCAGTAGTTGTAGAACCAAACAAATCACTTTGCCTTCTTTTTTAGGCGAATGTAAGTTATGACGCGACATAATGTACATGAGCTTAAGTCGCTCACATTGCATATTGAATTTCTTCATAACATTAGATGGCCATCTCGTCATCAGACTTGTCTGATGCATGTGCACCAGCACAATCTATTGTGAAGGCCTCATGCATAGAAGCGTATTCGGATTTGATTGACATTGAAGGTATGGAAGACTTTCTTCTCTGACTTTGAAAGGCTTCGCAATCTATCGTCATCGATTACATATTGATTAAATTATCGTCCTGGACCACATTGAAAAATCTATGCTGTAAAGATTGATTGAGGCAACGCAGTTTTTTGTCAATTATTTCTGCTGTGATGTGCCAAACCCGATTCCATATATACAAACACATTATGGTAATAGGAGTCAGTCCTCTCTCTACGAGTATAATATGGACGCTTTGCCCTGCCTTTTCCTGCAGCTCTAGAGCAAAGTTATCACGAAAGAGGTAAAAATGGTAGCAGATTAAAGAAGTCTGGGTTACCTAAACTTTCGTCCTTGTCATTACTGCACTGATACATTCAAATATGGCCTCTGCTGACGACATTCGTGCAGAGAACGAAGGTCTGTGCCGTGAGATTCAGGCGCTGTTATGTGTCAATAAATCACTCGAGAAGGAGATGCAAGAGCTGCGATCGGAGTGCATGGAGCATGAGAGCAATAAAATCAAGACACTGGAGCATGAACTCGAAAAAGTGGATGAGGAGCTCACATATTTGCACTCTCAATGTCGGTCGATGAGAGACATGATTAGGAGGGCCAATGCTGACCAAGGAATCAAGAAGGAGTCAGCACAGCTTCATGTTAGCCGCTCGTTTTCTTTTGCTTTCAGCCAGACAATGCAACAAGTCAAAGACATAGCGTTACCGCTTCAACAACATTCGTCGACGGTGGTACACGGACTTACCAAGGCTGCAAGCTTTGTGATTCCACCCACGGCAAAATTGAGTCCCCACCGTGTTGAAAGAACAAAGAGCAGTCGGACGATCTTATCACTAATTAAGGACACAACTGATTCGACAGCAAATCTGTTCTTCTCGACTCAGCACAGTGGAGTACCACAAAAAAGTGAAGTTTAGGGCATAAGAAGAGATGATGGAAGTGATGTTGTGTAGCCCTATCCGATTATAAGGGGGTATATGTCCCTTGGAGCTGCTGAGTGTACCATCAAAATGAAGGCCTTTCATTGCTTGCCTAAGAGCTTGTGTGCTTTTCATTAATCTGAATAAACATGAACAAGCAACAATTTGAGCTGCCGAATCGCCCTTACGACTGGTAGTTTTCCCTAACATAACTTCATTTTCTTGTTAGCCCTCCTTTATGGCTTTGTTGTAACTATCAGTAAGACACTGAGTTATTGGTCTAGCTCAGTGTACTGACTATCTAATTTTCTCCGCAAATTAGATAGTAAACATGGTGAAGCTCGTTGGCATGAAGGGAATCGCGTTCCCCCGTCACAATCGATGCGATCGAGTCTGTTGGTGACTTGAAGAATGCGATTATAGATATAGATATGCAGAATTTTAATTTTGCAGGGAGCAGCTCGAGCTATACCTCGCCAAGAAGTGCGACGCGTGGTTGAGAACGAGATCATGAAATGAATTAGTGACACCAACGGCCTGAAGCATATGAGTGCTGCGCGAGCAAAACGTCACTCCGTTGGCCTATCTTATCAGCAAGGGGGAAGAATATATGAAAAGGAGGAAGCAGCAGGAAATTGCGCTGTGAACGTGTTGGGGTGATTCCGACGTATTGCAAGATGGCGTTTTCGTTTGCTGTAGTAATCAGTTCTTCTCACGATTCCCCGAGGTGGATTATGTCATTAGCTGGCTCGAATTCATGTCGGATCTGAGCGTCATAATCTCTACATCTGTACAATGAACAATGTCATCGCTGAAAAAGCTTTGTCGGAAGTGGAATCTCTCGCCGCAAATATGTAGTAGTCTTTACTAGCACGATTGGGATACAAAAGTTAGTGTTCATGTACAAAGTGATGTGGAAGTTGGTCAGAAATAAGAAGCGCGTGCTATTTTTTTCAGAGACGGACTTGTTTACTTTGATGGATCAAAAAAGTTTGAGTGCAAATCATTTCCAAACACGTTCAGTCGGCAATTGTAGGCACCCGTTTTGTGATGCTCAGTAGACTTAGTGGACCCAATTGGACTGAAAGAGTCGCCAATCGAGAACTGCACAGTCATTCTCGCAAGCACACTGCGACGGGATTGTATTGGTGATTCCAGATGTGCTCTACATGCCATTGTGGACACAAGAAGAACTTAGTACCACTGCTCCCTTGTATATAAATCTCAACAACTTGTAGAAAAATCGCGTCACCTTCTTTGATGATGTGCCTCGTTCAGTGTTACAAGACATCCAAACATACCCCGCAAGCTCTACTGATGTCGGCATGCAGCAGTTGTTCTCACGATGTATATTATGTTGGTGTCTAAGTACTCTTAGATCAACTCGAAGACCAAGATCGTTCGACTTTGTTTCGCATCCACAACCAAAATCCGTATCGAGAGAACGAAGTCGTCTATGCATCAGACTTGGCTGCTCGAACAAAGTGGCAAGTTGATCGCGCCAAATTTTCGGTTCGTCAGTTCTAGGATAATCACTGTGTGAATACATTTCTGAGTTTTATTCTATGGATCGGCTGGAGCAGGGTGGGACTTTCGAGTATCGAGAGCTCGGACACCGAATTGTACTGCTATTGATGCGTGGATGCCGCAGTTCGGTGGATTCCAGATGACCGTGGGAAAATCGCATGGCAATATCAAGGGTGGGACGGCAGATGATTTGACGAAACTGGGTCCGAATGGCAATCGACTCTACTTTTTGCTTCCGCCACTCGACTACGAAACCTTCACGAAATTTTCACCTCAAACTATCAATTATTGTTCCGTTTCCAGAAGTAATTCGCTTCATTGACATCTCTTTCGTGGCCTACCACGACATTACTTAGTGATCAATTCGTCATGATAGTGCATGGCGCACAATTATGTTTTGATCCCGATAAATGTGATACGGCGTACCACCTGAACAATACGAACATTTTAAATAGCAAATCAAAGCTGCTCAAACGTGGTACTATGGGAATCCCGATAAGCTAAGCAGCGAACAGAATCGCGCGGAAATATGTGCCTGAAAGAAGATAAAAAATTAAAGATATTTTAGATAGAAATTATAAATTATCTGGGCTAAACCTGCCTTAACTTAACTAATTAATTAAGTATTTTTATTTCTCATATATGAGACAGCGTCAAACAAAAGAATGCTAATCAACCTAGGTACGAATCGCGAT